CCTTCAATCGCAAATATTTTGACTTCTATTCAACATAGATGGATATTTTTTCCACCAAAAGCCAAGCAAATAAACAGGCTTTAAGATGATACCAATAACCCAATATGCCCCAAAACTGACGAGCGCCTTATTCCATCACGTCATGACACATATCATAACGACCTTTGGAACATATAATACATTAACATAGATCGATAATGTGCCGTGTTGTGTCAACGGAAATTGGCGAGAGGAAGTGGGGCAGTCTTTTAAGCCATCCCATTCTAGGAAGCAGTTTGGGATGTTACATAACATAAAGATAAGATGAAATATATTTGTTTGAGTTGGAAATATCTTGATTGTACAGGAATGGTAAAAACACATGTAAGTAAAATCTAGATAATACACAGAATGTAATTATTATCATTAAAAAATTCATTATGAAAGGAAAAATAAGGTTGACAATAATGCACTACACCAAAAGCTTCTTTCATCCAAATGCAGAAATTTGTCACAGACCTTTAGAGTTGTACAGATACTCGAATAGTACATTATGTAAAAAAGAATCAGAAGCAAAATACACATTAATGTTATTTTTCAAACAGTAGCCTTATTCCAGATGGTAGGAATACTCATTTGTATCTTTCGGCTACATACATAAAGGGATGACTACTACATGAATCCCCCCAAAAACGAATACATATTTCGAACGTAAGCGCAGCATGCCATTAAATACTCCATTCCGAAAATCAGCAAGCGGAGATACCATGAAAAGGCGTCGCTTAGCAACAAGGAAATAGTCATAATCATCAGACAAATTTTTAGCCGCAGCAATAATACCCACAAAGTGACCTCAACAATTACACGAAACAAACAGGTTAGCACGAAGACCCACGTTCCACACGCCAATAATAATTATTCATCTTTGTTTGAAGAGGTTTTTAGCATTCAGATAAAGGCTGCGGCTTTAAAAACAACGTACACCCTTACACTTTTGGTCTTGAATTACGCTGCGTTCAACTAAATTGATATTCTTATATACTAACTAATACTGTAGTTGTTTACACCACCATCAACACATTTATTTACATCATATACAAAAGAGATTGCTTCGACCTTGCCTATGAGGGCTAACCAGGACTGAAAGAGATGCAACGTTCCACCAGACAGACAGAGATCCTCGATAAGGACCTCCCAACATGGGAATTGAACACAAATCTTCAGTGTTCGACGGTGACGCTCTTAAGCGCTACCCTACATACTCCGGTTTGAACATAGTTATTCTTAGCTTTTGTTGCATTTAACAATATTATGCTTAACACATTTAGTTGGCAGCAACTTTAAAAAGTGAGGTTATTAACTTGGTTCATAGCGTTTGGTGATGTGCCACACAATGGACATAGTCATTGACATTGTTTTTATTAGGTCTTTGGTTTCCTGATAAACCAAAATCCATAGATTACGTTACAATCTGAGCATTTGGTTATGTGAAAGGGACACGCTTTCAGTGTTCACAAATCATTGAATGAATGCATGAAGCTGGAATGAAGGTAATTACCCG